TCTTCCCTCCTCCTCTCTCTCTTCTTTTCTTTCTTCTCTCTCTCTCTCTCTCTCTCTCTCTCTCTCTTTCACTCTCACTCTCTTTTTTTCCCTTTCCTTCCCTCTCCTTCTCTATCCTCTCTCTCCTTCCTTCTTCCCTCCCTTCCTTTCCTTCCCACCCTCTTCTCCCCTGTCTTTCCTCCTCTATCTCTTTCACCCACCCTTCCTCCTCTCCTTCTTCCCCCAATATCTTTTCCACTTGCTCCTGCCAACTCCCTCCTCCTTCCGTCCATTCTCTACATATCTCCCACGTATGTTCCCATGTCTCCTCCTCCAATCCGCATAGCTTGCATCTCCTACTCTCCTCCGTCTCCCAATACCTTTCCTCCCTCATTTCACTTCCTAACCTAAACCTCGCCACTCTCCTCCATCTACTCTCCCCCCAACCCTTTTTTAAGTATCCAGAAATTCCCTCCCCTTTCACTCTCCCATACCATTTGTTGTATCTTGACCCCCCTATTTTCTCCCCCCTCTCCTTTTCCTGTATCTTCCTGTCCTTTTTTTCTATCTGTCTATATCCTAGTTCCCCTTTTTCTCTCTTCTCTTCTATTCCTTCCCAATCCAATCCTCTCCCTTCAAAGAACTTCTTTCTCTCTCTTTCCCACTCCGAATTTGCCTTCCCTTTCCTTATTCTTTCCAACATTTCCCATCTGCACTTTTTCGCCAAATCACTCCCTTTTTCTTCCTCGAATCTTCTCTCAAATTCCCACGCCCTTTTCTCTGCCCTTCCCCTCAGCTTTTTTCTCTTCAGCTCCTCCCTTACCATGTATCCCGGTGTCCTTCCGTCCACTCCCAACACTCACTTCAAATACCTTTCCTCCAGCTTCTCCATCATCTCCCTTTCCTTCCACCCCCATATCTCCGCTCCGTACCCCATCACCGTCCATACTAACCTGTCGAAGAGCCAAAGCCTTTTTCTCCAGTCTCTCCCAAACCTTCTCTTCCTTATTCCCCATACCTGTCCCATTATGGCGGCTGCTCTTTTAACCCTCTCTCTTACGTGTGCCTCTTGCTTCCCGTTCCTTTTTATCGTATACCCTAGATATTTATATTCCTTAACCTCCTCTATCACCTTCCCTCTCCACCTCCATACCTTCTTCCCCATCCTCCCCCCATCCTAAACCTCAATATCTTCGTCTTTTTCACGTTTAACTCCAATCTCTTTCTCCCTAAATATCCCTCCAGCCTCTCCAACATACTCCCCATCTCTTCTTCCTTTTCCGCCAACATAACTATGTCGTCTGCATAAGCCAGCGTGTACACTTTCCCTTCTTCCAACCTAACCCCTCCCCATTTCACCTTCCTCATTTCCTCCTCCAAATCCGCCGTCACCACGTTGAACAGCAGCGGACTCAGTGGGCACCCCTGTCTTACCCCCCTTGCCGTCCAAAAAGCCTCCCCCGTTTCCCCTCCTACCCTCACCCTGCTCTTTGTTTCCTTCAATATCTTCTCCACCCTCACCACCAGTCTTTCCCTTATCCCCCGCTCCCTCATAGCCTCCACCAGAACCCCCCTCTCTACCGAGTCAAAAGCCGCCTTCAAGTCTATAAATACCGCCACCATCTTTCCCTTTTTCCCTCCTAGTTGTTTATTCACTAAATAATTTAATACATAAATATTATCAATCGTCCCCATTCTCCTCCTGAAACCCGTCTGGTTATGAGGCATTAATCCTTTTTTCTCTATCTCCTCTCTTAGTCTCTCCGCCAGTACTGTTGCATAAATCTTATACAGCGTGGGCATCAGCGTGATCCCCCTATACTCCTCCACTTTTTCCTCCTCCCCTTTTTTGACTATCGGCACTACCACCCCTTCCTTCCAATTCTCCGGCCAACCCTCTCCTTTCCACACCCTGTTGCAGAATCCCCATATCCACTCTTCCAAATCCTCCCCCCCATACTTCCAGACTTCCGCTGGTACCTCGTCTATCCCCACCGCCTTTCCGTCTCTTAGCGCTCTCACCGCTTCCTTAACCTTTTCCTTGTCTAACTCGTCCTCCTCCTCCTCTCCCTCCCCTTGCCCCCTCCTCTCTCCCTCTCTGACCACCCTCCTTTCAAGCCCCCCTAGTGTTCCCATGAAATGCTCCTTCCATTTCCCCATCTCTATCCTCTCATTCACTCTCCTCTTCCTCCTCCTCTCTCTATTTACAATCTCCCATACTTCCTTTTCTCTTCTCGCTTCTTCCGTTTGTTTTTCCCATTTTCGGTTCTCCTCCTCTTTTTTTCTCTTACACATTCTCCCATATTCCCTCTTCTCTCTTTTGTACTTCTCTCTATCCCCCCCTCTCCTCCTCCACTCCCTTAATTCTTTCCTTACCCTTTTCTTTTCCTGGACACATTCCTTATCCCACCACCCTCTTCTCCTCTCTTCCGCTCTCCCCAGCTCTTTCTCCGTCTCCTTCAACGCTTCTTTTATCTTGCTCTCCAGATTATCCCATTCCTCTCCTATCTCTTTCCCTCCTATTTGTATCCGTCCCATTTTTTCCTTAAACCTCTTCCTCCCTTCTCTGTCCCAAATCCCCCTTCTACCCCCGCCCCTTTCCCTCCTCATCGCTCTCCTCTCCACTCCTCCTTTCAACCATAACTTCACCGGGTGGTGATCCGAGTCCACCCTGTCTCTTATTCTCATCTCCTCTATCCTGTCCCTTATCTCCCCCTCCCCTATTACATAATCTATTACTGTGTTTTCCCTACCCCCTGTGAACGTGTACTCTCCCTCTTCGTCTCCTCTTACGCTTCCGTTGAAAATTTCCCACCCTTTTCCTTCTATATACTCCACCAACTTCCTCCCCTCCCCATTTATCTTCATGTTCTTTGATCATCTCTTCCTTTTCCTCTTCTTCCTCCCCCCTTACCCCTCCCCCTTCCGTTCCTGTTCTAGCATTAAAATCCCTTCCCTATTATCTCCCTTACTCCCCCCTCTCTCTCCCCAATCCATTTCTCTATTCCCTGCAAGGTCCTCTCCACTCCTCTTTCCCCCACGTATACCCCTATTACTTTCCATTTTTCCCGCCCCGTATTTCCTCTTCTTACTATCATCCCTTCCTTCTCCACCTCTATCCTGGACCCCTTTTCCCACATCTCCTTTTTTATCCCTATCACCATTCCCCTAATTTCTCTCCCTTTCCTGCATTTCCTTTTCGTCAGCTGCACCCCCCATTCATATCCTTGTGGTAGCCTTTCCCTTATCTTTTTCCACCCCTTCTCATCCATCCACGTCTCTACAAGTACCATTACGTTCCACTCCTTTAGGCTCTTCTAAAAATCTCTATCTTTCTTTCCTAACCCCGCTACATTCCAGAATGCCAACTTCCACCTGTTCCCCTCTCTCCTCCTCTCCTTCTCTCCTTTTCCGCCTTTTCTTCCTTCTCCCTTTCCTACCTCCTTTCTTCCTTCTTCCCTCCTCCTCCCCCTTCCCCCTGTCTCCCCTGTCTTACGTTTCCCTTTCCGTCCCTTAGCACTTCTTCCGTCTCATCCCACCTCCACCATTGATCGTCAATTCTAATCTTACCGTACCCAATCCACACCCTTTTCCCCTCTCTTTCCTCTTTCCGTGCTATCTCCTCCAACCTCCATCTCATTCTTCTCTCCCTCCAAGTCCAATCCTCCATGATCTTTTCCTTCCTGCCCTTCAACATACTCTTCCTCTTCCACACATCCCTTCTCTGTTCCTCGCTCCCCAGTTTAACCAGTAGCATCTCCCTTCCTTTGCCATCCTCCCCTCCTAAACCCTTAATCTCTATGATCTCCACCTTTGCCCCGACTGTTTTAAACATCTCCTCCACCGCCTC